TATTTGAGAATATGAAAGAAATGACTCACTAGAGTATCGTCATGAGATCTGAAGCTAATAAGACCCTAATAAGATCTACCTCAGCTATGAAAGACAAGGACTGCATGTCAATACCCGTAATCTGTGCGACGTACAAGTTTTAAATTTAGCTAGTGACCTGTTAACTCTGTCACTGATCACACAGGTATAATGTTATTACGTTTGTATAAAATTTATCCGAAGAGCTGGAACGTATTCAGAAGCGCGCCTTGCGCATTATCTTTCCTTATGCAAGCTACAACAGCGCGCTGAAAGAGGCAGGCATCTCCTCTCTTTACGACAGGAGAGAATCTCTATCGTTTGATCTTTTTAACGACATTGTTCTTGACATTAATCACAAGCTCGCAGGTCTGCTCCCACCTAAAGCTGAGCACCACTGGCAGCTGCGTAGCAATAGGAAGTTTAACGTGCCAGTGTGCAAGACTGATCGTCTTAAAAAATCTTTTGTTGTTAGCCATAGCCTAAGGATGTAAATATATATGTTTAATTATGTATATCATCTTAACACAAGATTATCCTAAGTGAAACGTTTTTATCAGATTTGTATATTTTTATTATTAAGATTTTCAAACTATCTTAACTATGAATTTTGTTTCTTGTATATTATACACGTAATTCAGTCTTCGGACTGCGAGGTGTTTCTTTTTAATAAACGATTTATCTATCCATTTATCTATTACACTCAAGAATCTGAGTCCGTGATTAAAAGAGAGTATTAGTCATCGTACTCATTGTTTTGACATTTGTCAATTCAATGCCAATCACACAGAAGGGTTTACAGCCAATGCGAGCCCGTAATATACCATGAATACTGGTCAGGGGATTCTTTGGCACGCCAGCTGTCATTTCAACATCTCAATGTGGATGTCCGCTTTAACATTAATGCACGTGCGAAGATGAATGCATTGGAGGTTTTCAACAAATTGCTATTACATTAAGGACCAAATGTTTAAAAATCCTACCCCTTTCGGCCACGTCAACTCGACTCTCGATAAGGGTCTGTAGGCAAGGGTTAACACGACTTAACAAAGTCTTTGGCATAAACACTTGAGAACATTGGAATGCGAAGGGGCTACCCTAATTGTTGGTTCGAGCTAATTTAATAATTTTCCTAAGGTCCTCTTGATACGACTCGTCGAGTCATTGCTTTCAGGGTCATAACTTGCGTCCTCGAGAAACGGGCCTCATGCATGCTTTTAGCTATATCCTGTTTGTACACCAAAATTATGGAACAAAGGACATAGGTTACCCTGCTCATTAATGACAAAAGACCATCGTACCTGTGTAACTCGTCCATTGGTTGAAAAAACAGTTTATGTTCTCGGAATTCGCGCGTGCTTATTTTCCTGATTACGTGAATTTTACGCGAGGTGCTTGAGGTGCAGTGCAAAGCTGAGGAATCATCTTAAGGCCCCCACGCCGCAAGCTCTCCAGGTTGCAGAGTAGACCAAGTGTATTTCTCATGTTTAGCTTTTCTATTACACGCAAAAAAAGATAAGACCATGACTCTATTTTATATTTTTAACTCTGAAGAACATGTATTCTCTATCAAAAGCAGTTGACGCAATACGTCTAAAAAGCAGCGTAAACCTAGTTTTACATGCATTTGGTACTGTATCGCGTCCTTTCCAGGGTGTTCGGAAAATCACGGATAAGTGGGTATCATGGCTAGCCAACGAAAAATCGTGTAAATTCTCCTTCTCCCATCGTATGCTGTTTCAAATCAAGGACTACATTCAGGCTTGCATCTGTATAACTTGGCGTATGATCATCGAGGTTCCATCCATGCAACTGGAGTATAAAAGTACCACTTTGAAAAATTTCCACAAGAAAGTTGGATACCACAGTGATCCAGAAATGTGTTCAAGGCTCCCTCCAAATGGACAAGCATCGGTTTCGGATGAAATTGCTTGTTACTTGTGGCCTGCCCTATTAGATGGAGGAGGAAGAATCATTCAAGCTGGAGAAGTCCTTTGTAAGTTGGAAGCCCAAGCGAAATAGAAGCTGAATTGAAATAAAGTGTATCAAGGGACAGAAAACAGCAACTCTGTCCCTTACAGAAAATTGTTTTAAAATGTTTATGAAGTTATTTTTGATTTTAATGTTTTTCCGTTGAAATATTAAATGAGGCTCTTCTGACTTGACGTACACATGAAATATTCGGTGGAAAATATAACCGATCATATGATATCTAGCCCTAGCCTCATCTTTAGCAAAAGGAATCTGATTTAAAAGGGAGCAAAATTGGATTGATCATTCTGAATCCCGTTCGGGAACTGTAGGAAATGTGTATTAGAATAGCGAATTAAAATAGTTGCAACCATTAATAATATGACAATCAAACTGAGAAAGATAACTTTCAAGTTAAAACAGGATAAAACAGAGTTCTTGTGCTTGAATAAAGTGCAAATTAAAAAATGTTTTGCTCCAGATGTTTGGGCTTAGATATTCAACAGCGGAAGTCTGATCAGTACACGATGTTTTGTTGAGAAAGTTGCTTTCTGTTTCTCATGACCCAGGGATCTTTCTCCACAACATATCAGTCTTTCGAATTCCACTGATTAAGAGCTAAGCCCCAAATGTCTAGAACAAACTACACTATCAGCCACTCAGCTACTAGCTCACCATCAAATAACTTCTTTGAACGTCAATGGAAGACATAACATGCAAAAGACTTTTTTTTTTTACTTTTGAACAATTTTTTGTTTCTAATGTAGCTTATATCATTTAACTTTAAACATGATTTTTTAAGCTTAGGCTTACTTCTTGTCAGTGTTCCATGTAAGGCCCAACTGCTCCATCTTTGAACGAATATAGTGCTGTGAACGATACCAATGCATTAGTATTAAAAAGTGCGGGTTCCAATTATTTCCAAACTAACTAATTACGAAATGATTATTAAAGATTCCTCGGCGCCTTTGAAACAGGACACAAGCGGTCTGTCAAGCATATATACAGGCGGTTGTGCAGTAAGACAAACAATAGGTGTGAGAAATCGAAAATTTGTATGGCGCGCATTTTAAAACCGGCTCTCGAGTTTGGTTGGCAAGCCGCAAAATTTGTTTAAACAAGTCATTATATTAATCTAAGCCGTGTAAGAAACATGCACTAAGGACAATGTTTATGTTGTCTACTAAGATTACTCACCGAGAGATCAGGATGGCGGGCGATTATTCTTTTCTTTGAAGAACTTGGTGGCGTTAGCATTCCTAAAGCGCTTCCCTCTGCGATTGCAGGACAGTCCACAACTTTTCCTTCTAAAACTGCAATCTTCTCCTCTAAGGATTTGGAACCGTTCTCGAGCCGCGACTCGATACTCTGCAGCTTGTTAAGGATAACATCGGAATTATCGGTCTGGTTTCCCTCAACTATTTGAAGTGAATCGTTTACCTGTTTCAACTGCGCTGACTGACGATTCAGTGATCCGTTGTGTCCAATTTCTTTTTTACTTCTGTCAGTTTCATTAAAACAAGGCGGAATTCTGAAGGAGTGGCGTTTCCGATTCGGGAACTTGCCATTTCTGATCGAAAGTTATACGAAAGATCAACACAGTCGTTTCTATACTCGAGTCAGATTAATTGTTGTACACTTCGAGGTTCTCCCAAGACGCTATCAAAGCAAGGTTATTTGATTGGTCGATTCACAAGGTCTAGTTCTATGGTTAGATCTCATTGGACAATTCATCGCGGTTGGGCCCGGTTGAACAAGCTATACACTAGCGTTTTCATGGAGCAGGAAAAAAAGTCGACAAAGATCAGGTTTCCATGCTATTAGTAATTCTCTAGGAATAAGCTTGGAAAATGCAGCGATCGCACGCTCGGGAAAACTAGAGAAAAACGTTTAGGAAGACAAGCTAGCACTAGCGTTTTCGTGGAGCAGGAAAACAATCGACGAACATCTTGTTTTTATGGCATTTACTATTCACAATTCTGCAGGAAAACGCTCGACAAACGCAGCGTTCGCGCGCTCGGGAAATTTATAGAGAAACGTTCAGGAAAACAAGCTAGACACTAGCGTTTTCGTGGAGCAGGAAAAAAATTAACGAACATCATGTTTTCATGGCATTTACCGTTGTTAATTATGCGGGAAAACGCTTGGAAAATGCAGCGTTGCGCGCTCGGGAAAACTATAGTAAAATGTTCAGGAAAACAAGCTAGACAATACCGTTTTCGTAGAACAGGAAAACAATCGACAAACATCATGTTTTCATGGCATTCACCGTTGGTTATTCTGTGGGAAAACGCTTGGAAAATGCTGCGTTCGCGCTCACGGGAAAACTGTAGGAGAACAGGCTAATCATTGGAGTTTTCCTGGTGCTGGATAACTGGGGATAAACTTCGTGTTTTTCAGGAGTTTTACTGAGGGTGGGCAGTGAATTTGCCGTACGTTTTCAGATATCGGAAAACGTTGGTTTAATGTTGAATTTCTCAGACATTCACCATTTTGTAAAATTAATAGTGAACGACGGTTTTTTGCCGTGAATGAGTGCATCTCGGTGTTTCCTTACATGTTTTAAGTAGAGTGAAATCTAATAGAAATTGTAGCGTAAAACCTGATATTTCTATTGGTTTTGAAAATAACCTAGTCCCCAGCGTAAACGTGTATGGACCCTTATTTCTGGTTCTTTGAGTGGTTAGTTCGAGTTTTTAGTATTTGAATGTAGTTCTGCATTCTCGGGAGGAATTTCAGCTAGCAAGTTGTTGAACTTTTTTACTAATTACTGGTCTCTCTGGTATCCACAAATTACAAGTGCCATATCTTTGACTTTTTTCAGAGCAGACTGATTAAAGTTCTTTTATAATAAAATATTCTGGAGTGTCTTGTACTTGATAATGATAGAACAATTTTTCTATTATTTCAGTTAAATGTAGGCTCGATTTCTTCACAAAAGGTTTTTATTTTTTGACTGTTGAGGCATCTTGTTAGTGGCACTGAAGTAAAACATTATTATTCAAAAGAAATGCAACACACAATTTTTTAATTTCACACTTTGTTACAAGACTGTTTCAAAATTGTACTTAACTGTAGTTCTTTGGGCTCGATTTGGTGAACTTACCTTATTAATGCTAAGAAATAAATTTAAAATTTGTTCTTCGGTGGATATCTTGTCTCTGCCCCAGCTTTGTAGCAATCTGGAGTTTCAGTTATAAAGTGAAGTTCAAATATGCCTTATTATGTCACGTTTGGCTTTCACAGGGAGTTATTCATGATGGTCTCCTTACACCCGGAGACTAAAGCGGATATTTACAACTATTTTCAGGGATTAATCTGTTCTACATGATCTACAAATGTAGTTATTGTTCTACAAATGTAGTTAATGTATATGTTCTACAAACGTAGTTCTACAAATGTAGTTATTGTCTCTTAACCGCAGTCAGGTTCATCACATATATTCAATCGTGGACTTCATATCTCAGTTTTCAATCGATTTTCATTGATCTTTAATCCTTATTGCATAGGAAGTCAAGATATGCCGTGGCAGTGTTCCCACTGCTGTTGTCTATTGCAGTGGCTTTAATCTCAGTTCCACCGAACTCTATCGCCAAATCAATCATTCGGTTTGTTCCTTTAGTAACGTCAGGTGATTTAACGATAACCTCTCCTATGGAGTTGCTAACTGCAGCGTCTGTTGAATATTTGGCGTCAGGATCGGTCGAGGTAAAAAAACTGAACCTGACTGCTGTTTGACTTCCCTCTAAAGGCCTGTAGTTAGCGAAGATTTTCTTCTCACCTGTCCTTACAATGTCATTCTCTTTAACAAGAACCATAAAGCAATTCCTACAGTAGGCTACGCCGTCAACGAAGTGTCGCTTGTCAATTGGGTGAAGACTGGGATCAAACGGGAGGTACTGATCGAAGCCATAAGTCGTAGACATTATTCTGGAGTCGAAAGTGTCAGGTGTTTGCCCAAACATCACCGCACCTTGGACAATTGCAATGCTGGCGTTGCTTGGAACTAAAATTCTGCATCTGTGAATAGAGGAAATATCAAAGATGGCAGTCTTTTCACTTGTCGTGTCTCACATGAGAGGTTAATTGCATTCCAGGCATGACAAGTATCTCCTTTGGTTCCAAAATTACCCTTTTGAATTAGTGAATTTCAGAATAGCTTGCATCCAAGTACTTTGACCATGACCCTTCGCACTGAAGGAATTGGGACTTGTAAACAAATCTCAGTGCGTTTGGTGCGAATTATCACGACCTACAACTAGGTTAAGGTTCTTCAGACCAAACCTTTAACCCGTTTGAACGTTAACATCAAATTTGCCCTACCTCCGGCTAAAGTTCTGCTTGATTGCATCCTGAAGTATTGCTGACTCAGCAAAACCTCCAACAAGGAAAAAAAATTGCAGCTCACGGAGCATACGATGCTTAAGGAGGTTGCTCAGGTGCTTCACTATTCCATTCAGAACCGGTTCAAACAACTTTTTCATGGCCGCTGGTCCTATACAGAAGTACTCATTTCGGACGAATTGGACATCGTCAACTCTACAGGAACTTGCAAATCGTCTTGCCAGATCAGGCCCACCTTGTTCTGAAACCAGCGCTGTAAAGGTTCTGGGAAGGCGAATTCTAGTTGTTTCGCCCTGGTAAGCTCGGCGCCCTCGCTTCTTCATCTCAAATTCATTCATCATCTCAAGCCATTCTGCTGGGTGGTTGTCACGGAAGTTTTTTACTTGAGAAGTTCCGAAAAACCTCTCAAGCAGGGAGACGAACTCCTCGTCAACTTTAGTTCCACCATAAGGTCCACCGGTCACTTGATGGATTTCTTTGATGTTTCCATTTGTTAAGATTTCGTGAGCTGTGACATCGAGAGTCCCGCCTTTATTAAAGTAGAAGAGATGTAAAAACAGTTAAACTACAGCCTCAGCACCTACTTTTATTTCATATTGTTTAAGTTAAACATAAAGCGCACTACGAGCTCAGTGCCGTTTTTGTTTGACTTAATTTCAGAAAGACGGTTAACATAAGTTTAGGTCCTTTTCCGCCACTGAGACAATGTCCCACTGGTTAAACAAAATTATGTAAATGAAAACGCCTCACCACTGGTTTCATTAAGCCAAGTTTTGTAAATCTTCGAGGTTTCATGGGAAATCGATGTGAACTAATAGTTTTACAATAAACCGAGTGATTTGCAACTTGAAAGTCCGATCTTTTTTTTAAGAGAATTTACCAAACATCGCTAAAACAACCCGATGTCTCTACGAACAAATAAACTTTTAAATGATAAAGAGAGGAAAATTTTTTTTCACTGAAGAATACCAAGTTTTTTTTTTTTAATTTTTTCTGGCGTGATTTCCACAGAATGGTCCATTAGTTTGAATATTTAATCTTGCCTCCGATATCAACAACAAGGTATTTTGACTCAGGCCGAGCAAAGACGTCAGACACACTGGCATCTCCTTTCTCATTCGTGAATTCTCTCATCTTCATTTCTCTGCAGTACATAGAGGCTGCTTCTGGTTCCAAAGCAATAAGCAGCTGTTCGGGGTTATCATTCAATGCCATCTCCGCCTTCCAAAACAGAGGCAAAAGAAAGAAAAGTTACAGAAGGAAACAAATTTCAATAAACACTTTTATCTTGACCTTGATTTTTCTTGTTTGGGAACACTTCCAAGGGGTTAAAAAAAACCAAAACTTGTTGCATTTCTAATATTGCGCTGATGTTCATTAATGGACTACTGCAGAGTACCCTCTTTCTTCCTCATCGCGCATTTTCTTTTCACCTCTTTCACTCATCTATAATTACCTTATAACAATATTATAGATAATAACTTATCTATAATTACCTTATATGCAGCTTCTCTCATGAATTGCTTAGCGGCGGGTCTCCAAATGGCAGGTACTGTTATGACCCATCGAATGTCCTTTTCATTATACTTTTCGTCTCCAGTTCTCTCGCGGATAATTTCGATAGCTCGATCTTTGAGAAACCTCATTGAGTGGGCAAAAACAACCAAAGCATCGACTGTTTTCCCATTTCGAGCCGTCAGCTTGGTATTTCTGTCAAGTGTCTGTGATAGGAGAAGATGAATTTACAAATACTATGCCCAATACTTTTGATAAGAATTAATTTCAATGGAAACCTTGAACCAAAACTGAAATTCAGCGTACATATTTGTCCTGGTCTCGAGGACCCAGAGTTTGTATTGTGACGAGGAAGCCTAAAAAATTAGATGTAAATTACTCTTTTTGCTCTTCTTGTAGCTGGTATTTGTTACGTGTATTACCCTAAGATCATTTTCTGAAAGGGAATGGCGTTGAGGCGGGGTAGTTCACTGATTTGAGGTGGGTTTTTTTCACCCTCAAATCGATTGGCCTAAAAGACGTGTCTCTCGACCGAATTTGCCCGCCAGAAAGTAGGTCATATCGGGTCACTCAATGATATTCGCCAAGCGACATCTCCAATTTGCAAAGCATGTGTCCAATGTGATGAATCTTCCTTTGAAACGGTTTATTCAATTTGAGAAAGCAATTTTGCTGATACACATGAAGAAGACCAAAACTTTTTTTTTCATAAACTTGCCTTTTAAAAGTAAGACAGAAAACTGTCTGGGTAAGTTTCACTCCGCGCGCTGCCAAGAGGAAAAAGAATGAACGAACATTTACCCCTGACTTGTGAAGTTCCATTTTGAAATGTTTGAAGTAGAGATAATCTCGATCTTCACCACAAGAGAAGCTGGCGTACTTTTCCTCCGCTTCGTATCCAAATGAATCAAATTTGCCATCTAGGCGAAGAAGCAGAGAGGTGGGTGTCTTAAGGGTAGCAGCTCCCTGGTCATTTCCCCACGCTTTGTTCATATGGATACCTCCTTTTCCTTTCTTGTGGTTGAAAGCAAAAGCAAAGCCACTGTATGTGGTCCCAAAATCAATAGCAACCACGGCTATGTACGATGAACTTGCAGAGAATAACAAGCCTTCAGATGCTGAAGAGCAAATCGAATATTTCCTGATCACAACTACACTGGAAGACGCGACCGGCATGCACGAACTTTAGTGAGTAGTGGCTCACTGAGAATAAAATAGCTTTATTTCGCCTCTATTCAGTGAAAATAAAAGGTGCAGCTGCTAAGAGAATTCGAAAAAATGATACAAGAACATTCGCGAAAGAAATTAACATTAGTCATTAAATCATGCCGAAGGATATAATTATAATTATGCAGTTTCCGGCCGGAGGGTAGAAGCTGTGTATTATGAAATATATTTTAAAAAACCGGTTATTTAAAAGAGAATACTCCTCAGCTTTCCTTTCAGTGAAATATGGAGGTTTGGAAATACAGATCTTCAAACTGATTAAAACTCCTAGTTCTGGTTATTTTTTGTCAATACAATTCCTAATGCGTTTGGTGTCGCAGAGGCAGATACATGTGAGGGTTCTGTGCTCGTTTGATGAAAAAATAACCTCTTTACTTACTTTCCAGTCCGTGCATCAATCATCTTACATATTATCTATTAGCATATTTACTTTAACAAACTTCAAAAGTGAAGAGATCAGTTACTATGCAGGATCTTATATTAACAATCGAGGCGTTCGATTGCAGAAACCGAAAGTAATTCACTTCCGGGAATGGTAGGTTTCTCTCGTTCTCATGTCAAACTCCTGTGGCTCATACATCCTTGTCGATGATTCTTCTAAACAATAATTGATCAGTGAAGGAGATACAATTTATGGTATTTGAAGAGATCAGACCTGGCTGTCATTCCATAAAGTTTTTGCTTCNAGCGTTAGCCCTTCGTCGGAGCGAAATTTTCAGGTAGTTTGGAGGGACCACTGTTGCCACCGATAAAGCCATAAAGACTTCATTTCTGAAGTCGCTCTCTGACACGAATTTGTGCAAGTGTTTACCACTTTCAAACAGTTGCAAAGTTCTTGAATTTACTAACTGCTGGCTAGAAAGTCCAGATAAACCGTGGATTGTCGGTTGCTCGTACGATTAACAGCCGTGACCTTTATCTCAGTTCCACCAAAGAGCAAATGTATCTCAATGTCTTTCGTTTTCCATGCCTCCGGTGTTTCAATCACTAATCCACGACCGGGGGCCTTGAGCACCTCAGGATCTGTCACAAACTCTACATCTGGACATTCTGATTGGTAGAAATCGAGCTTCACTTGTTTCTCTACGCCTGTTAAGGGCGCAAAACCAGTGAATCGACGCTTTTCTCCAACTTTTATTACTTCATTGACTTTGACAAACTTGAAGAACACATCTTTACAACGTGGGATTCCAGCTATTATTTCCTTTTTCGATTCAGGATGTAACCCATCTAGGAAGAGCTTATGTATACGGATGCCATAGGTCGTTGTCATTATCCTCGACTCGAAAGTGTAAGGTTTCTGTCCAAACATCACTGCACCTTTGACAACTGCGAGGGATGCGCAGTGTGGTATTAAAATGCGGTAAGCACGGCCAAAGTGCTCCTTTATTCCTTCCTGTAAGACAGCCGAGTCAGAAAAACCGCCCACAAGGAATGCAAACTTGACCTTAGACATCTGTGGTTTGGCGAGAAGGTTAGACAGGTGGGAAATGATGTCATCTAAGACTGGGTTGAACAACTGCCTCATAACCTCTGGTTCAAGGCAGAGGTACTCGTTACGAAGGACTTTGATTTCGTCCAGGCTGCAATGCTGCTGAATGGCTGTGTTAATATCCCAACCTTTATGGCTGGGAAATTTACTTATGAAACTACCCGGCAACCGAATTCTTGTTGTCCCCCCTTCACAGATGCGCTTCCCGCGTTTCTTTACTTCGAAATCACTCATGAGACAGAGCCAATCCACCGGATTGTGACGGGCATAGTTATCAATAAAGGATTTGGAGAAAATTGTTTCAAGAAGGATCCTGAACTGTGTGTTGACATTCTGTCCTCCAAATGTACCACCTGTGGCTTTGTAAAGCTCTCGGATGGCACCGTTTTCCACAAGCTCATGAACAGTCACATCGAGAGTTCCGCCTACATGGAAACAAGAGTTAAAAGATATTAAAATAATATTATAACAGATAAAAAATTTAAGAAAACCAAGGATAACTGATTACTTAAAACTAAGGTGTCTAGCTTTTTTTTTACGTGTGTTGACCATTTCTGTCTCAGGAACTGTTCTAGATTTACGCTTTCCATCTACCGTGCCGATCATGATGGCAAATAAACAAACGTAAAGACTAACGCAAACGACGAAAGCATTTAACCGCACACAGTCAACTGTCTTGAAGTTAAGAGTTTCAAGTGCAAGCATTCATTTACAGTTACAAATATGCAGCAAAACATTTTGTTTCTCAGACGGTGAAATATACTTAATTTCCTCGGAAAAATTGAATTTACCTCCAATGTCAATTACCACGTACTGTGTTTCTGGTTGGGCGATGGTGTCTCCAACTGAGGCATCGTTGCTGCCACTCTCGGCAACAAACTCTCTCAGCTTTTGCTCTCTACAGTAGATGGAGGCCGCTTCTGGCTCCAACGCAATAAGTATCTGCTCTGGGTTCGAGGGATGTGCCAGTCCTGCCTAAGAGAGAAGTACAAAGACTGAATGTTAGCTTAGTTAATTAATATAATCGAAAATTGCCATAAGAAAGAAAAATTCTCTCCCGCTTTTTCTTTGTTCTGCTTATGCGATTTCGCAAAACGAGCTGCAACCAAGCATACTTGTTAAGTTGGACCCCGATAACTCAAACCCTCGGTAACTCGAATTCCCCGCCACCTCAAAGCAAAACTGATTTCCCTTGGATTTACCTCTTATATTTACCGTAGTTTTTAACCCTTATAATTCGAAACCCGATTAACTCAAAACCCCGCTAACTCGCAGCGATTTTTTACTTTCCTTCAGGTAGTTTTCTTTGCAATTTTACCCTCGATAACTCGAAGTCGATCTTCACTTTTGCGGACTGATAAGCCCTAACATTTTGCGCCGGATGATTACATTTAATCTCACTTAATATCACGACAAATTAACCTTTGTCGATACCAGACGTTTCTATTTCCGTAAACAGACAGTTTTGAAAGTAATCTGGAATCGATCTGTTGTATGAATAGATTTTTCAACAAATGTTAAAGTGAGATTTAGCGTTAAACATTCTGACGGAAGAGCAGCTACTTTATATTTCATGCTTTTGTTTTGTATCGTTTTGTTTTTTGTTTTTTTTTGTCGTTTTTATGCTCTTACATTGCTAGAAGTCTTACAATAAAACAGCTAAAAGCATAAAATCTCTCTAATCAAATGTTTCTAGTATTTTTGTTGGAAACCCCTATAACTCGAAGTTAAATTCCCGCCGGCAATTCGAGTTACCGAGGTTCAACTGTATACACATGCTTCGCGTTGGAGATTTAAAAACTGTTAAATAATAATAATCACTGCATGATTTTGTTGATGTTTGAGGTGTATTTCTTATGAAAGCTCACTTGATAAGCTGCCTCTCTCATGAATTGTTTTGCCGCTGGTCTCCATATTGCTGGGACGGTCAAGACCCACTGCACATCATTTCCTCCAAAATCTTCGTCTCCAGTTCTCTCCTTAATCACCTCTAGAGCCCGCGTGTAAAGATAATGTATGGAATATTTAAAAACATCCAAGGCCTTCGTGTGTTTGCCATTTCCTGCCTCCACAGTGGTGTTTATATTCAAGCTCTGTAAAAAGAAAAGCCACTTTTAAGAAAGTTTATTAAGTCACTTCACTCTCATTCGGTTCGGAATCCATCACTTAGACAACACGAGTAATATCTGTGTATTAATATTTCTATAAAAGTATGAAACTTACGACTACAAAAACACCAAATCCAAGGGAAAACCAAAAATTCTTTCTGATTGCATAATGCTTTGATTTAATAGCAAGGCTTTACCTTCATTACCTTCTGAGCTAATTATCAAATTGCTAACATTTACCAGAATCACACAGCTTCTTTCTTTCGTACCAGAACCGACCACTGTTTATTAACATAAAATCATTGAAAGTTTTACCAATATTCTTTTTAAATAAGAAAGCTTCATATGTTTGGAAATACGAAATGAAATTTTCTCTCACCTCATTGTTATGAAGAATCATTTTGAAGCTATCAAAGTAATAATATTGTCGAGCTTCCTCTTCCTCCAAATCAGCAAATTTATCTTTGGCTTCGTAGCCAAACGAATTGAAGCTCTTGTCTGGATTGAGCAACAAACATGTAGGTGTCTTCATAGTGGAATAGCCTTGATCTGTTCCCCATTCCTTATTCATGTGAATGCTTTTCGCTCCCTCTTTGTTGTTGAACGCAAATGCAAACCCACTAAATGTTGTGCCAAAGTCAATTGCTACAACAGCGATGAATGTTGTGTGAGAGGAGAGGAAAAGTTCACCTTCCTCTTGATCATCTGTTGAACGATGATTATATTCAGTAACTAAGTAATTAAATAAAGACATGCTTCAGAAAGAAATTTTAAATAGATGAGAGAGGCAGATGACGACATGAATTAAAACTTTGACTCAAAGAAATGCCGAGTAATGAAACGTGGCAATCAGTACATGTATCGACAAATTCAGTAATAAATAAACAGAATTTCATTCAGAAGTTGATTTTACGTTTTCTGAAATAAATAGTAAAATGCTTCTAACTCTTGAAATATGTCATAAAGGATATACATTTGGGTAAAACTTTTGGAAAATTGCAGAGGAAATCCGAGAGTGCCGAAAAGTTGTCGACTTCCTAATATCATAGTTTTCGAGGATGCCAAGTGAAGCCTAAGTTTACACGGAAACATCACGAGTATAACTCGATTTTATGTTTAATCATAAATGAGACGAGTTTCTGTGTTTTTATTTTCGACTTAAAAATATGATATGGTCCGTTTAATACTCGAAATGTTTGTATGATCGACTTTCAATTCTGTTTTCGATTTTATGAGCAATGTCATCGGAAGAAGTGAAGTGTTTATCGTAATAATGTTTATATGAGAACGATCCTTCGCAGTAAAGCACTATTGAAGCAATAGTGAAAATCAGACCTGAAAAAAATTTCAGGCCTGTACGGGACTCGAACCACTGACCTCTGCGATACTAGTGCAGCGCTCTACCAATTGAGCTAACAAGCCAACTGGGAGCAGGCCATCAAATTAATTCGATATAAACCCGTAGATGATAAATCAAACAACAACAAACATATGAAACATATGTGTGAACTGCGGTTATGAGACGTATATGAGAACGATCCTTCGCAGTAAAGCACTATTTGAGCAATAGTGAAAATCAGACCTGAAAAAAATTTCAGGCCTGTACGGGATTCGAACCACTGACCTCTGCGATACTAGTGCAGCGCTCTACCAATTGAGCTAACAAGCCAACTGGGAGCAGGCCATCAAATTAATTCGATATAAACCCGTAGATGATAAATCAAACAACAACAAACATATGAAACATATGTGTGAACTGCGGTTATGAGACGTATATGAGAACGATCCTTCGCAGTAAAGCACTATTTGAGCAATAGTGAAAATCAGACCTGAAAAAAATTTCAGGCCTGTACGGGATTCGAACCACTGACCTCTGCGATACTAGTGCAGCGCTCTACCAATTGAGCTAACAAGCCAACTGGGAGCAGGCCATCAAATTAATTCGATATAAACCCGTAGATGATAAATCAAACAACAACAAACATATGAAACATATGTGTGAACTGCGGTTATGAGACGTATATGAGAACGATCCTTCGCAGTAAAGCACTATTTGAGCAATAGTGAAAATCAGACCTGAAAAAAATTTCAGGCCTGTACGGGATTCGAACCACTGACCTCTGCGATACTAGTGCAGCGCTCTACCAATTGAGCTAACAAGCCAACTGGGAGCAGGCCATCAAATTAATTCGATATAAACCCGTAGATGATAAATCAAACAACAACAAACATATGAAACATATGTGTGAACTGCGGTTATGAGACGTATATGAGAACGATCCTTCGCAGTAAAGCACTATTTGAGCAATAGTGAAAATCAGACCTGAAAAAAATTTCAGGCCTGTACGGGATTCGAACCACTGACCTCTGCGATACTAGTGCAGCGCTCTACCAATTGAGCTAACAAGCCAACTGGGAGCAGGCCATCAAATTAATTCGATATAAACCCGTAGATGATAAATCAAACAACAACAAACATATGAAACATATGTGTGAACTGCGGTTATNAAGCATTTAACCGCACACAGTCAACTGTCTTGAAGTTAAGAGTTTCAAGTGCAAGCATTCATTTACAGTTACAAATATGCAGCAAAACATTTTGTTTCTCAGACGGTGAAATATACTTAATTTCCTCGGAAAAATTGAATTTACCTCCAATGTCAATTACCACGTACTGTGTTTCTGGTTGGGCGATGGTGTCCCCAACTGAGGCATCGTTGCTGCCACTCTCGGCAACAAACTCTCTCAGCTTTTGCTCTCTACAGTAGATGGAGGCCGCTTCTGGCTCCAACGCAATAAGTATCTGCTCTGGGTTCGAGGGATGTGCCAGTCCTGCCTAAGAGAGAAGTACAAAGACTGAATGTTAGCTTAGTTAATTAATATAATCGAAAATTGCCATAAGAAAGAAAAATTCTCTCCCGCTTTTTCTTTGTTCTGCTTATGCGATTTCGAAAAACGAGCTGCAACCAAGCATACTTGTTAAGTTGGACCCCGATACCACATATTGATGTCTTCCAGGGTTTTGTCCCTTTCTTGGAAAGATTACGTCATTATGGCCTCAGAGATAACAATTACTCTAGATCAGAGACAACAGAAGCTGTTGAAATCATTATTGTGTAGAAAGATGATATTTTCACCATATCTTCTATTGGTTTGTTTTCTTTTTTAAGCTTTCGACAATATATAGGTTATGCTCTGCTCAAGAATCGTTTGACTAAATCGTAAAAAAAAAAAAAAATTAAATAAATAAAAGGCAAGAAAACTAATAGTAAGTATATTAAACTTCCGGTTTTTCTCAGAAATCTTGCAAAATGCTTCCCGCAGCTTGGGCCATTTCCAAGTTCTCACGGTTCAGTAATCATCAATAAATGACAGTGCTATTTCAGCACCAGACTTCTGAACCGTGAGAACTCGGAAGTAGCCGATTAGTAGTTATCAGGCATTTGAGCAAGAACTCGACATTTTGAAACGTTGCTCTCTCCACACCTTTTGGATTTATTGTGGCAATGACAGATACACAATCCGCCACTACCGAGTCGCAAACAACGATCGACGATTCCCGAGCTCGTTCAAGGAGGTCGTTCATCGCTGTGTTGAAAGCTAATCGCGATGTGTTCTCCAATTTGCCAGAAAGGATTGAGCAGTGGCTTGAAAGGGAAACTAGGGCTACAATTCAGCTCGGAACGACCGAACAAGGGTACGTTAAGACCACACTGACGAATGAATCAAACATGAAATATACCGTGCAAATACCTCGTGTAGTACATGTATTTAGGTGTAATTAAGTGTTTTAGGTGAAGTAGGTGTAGTTCGGTGTAGGCGTAACCACACCATACTACACCAAACTACATCTACTGCACCACACTACACCGAACTACGCTTACTACACCAAACTACACTCTTACTACACCAATAACACTTTCTTTTCAATTGTACCATTGAACAAGCATTGGCTTTTTTCATAGATAGTGTCCAACCTTGTTCTACATTCATGACGGTTTCCAGCACGCCCAGGGCACATTAATAATCAAGGATGTTGCAATCATGGCTGAAATAGATACTGATATTCTATGAAAAGTGGAATAGGTAGAGTTAAACCTGTTTTAAAAGGTGTAGAGAAATGTTAAAGGTTGCTCCTTAAGAAGAAGGTCATTTTTCATCGATCGACCTCGAGTCATGATTGTCTCGTTTCCTATTGTGTTACGGGTGGAATCGCGTAATTGAATGAAATCTCACATTCTGATTGGTTAACGAAGCTAGGTATTCAGCGTAGAATAGCAAGTTGAAAACGAGGCTAAGTGATATTGTTTCGCATCTCTTGCTTCACGGGATAAAAACAAACAACATTATTGCTGTTTTCTTTTTTTCCTATTTTCATTCAATTACGCGATTCAAGCAAAATAAGTTACCTGACTCACGAATTCCGCGTTAAATTGCACTTGAAAATATTAATTGATTAACAATTATTTATCAACAATAATAATTTGTTACGATGTATGTTTCCATTCACCATAGCTATTCTTTTTTTTTTTTTTAACTCGGGAACGACTTGTTATTCCTTAATCATTATTTTTCTGACTTTCTTTATAACCTAATTGTTTAGCCATATTGGATTCAGGTTTATCCTCTCAGTTTTTTAGCAGATCCACACGTACGAGAACTGCAGCCGTCTACTGGAATTTCGCTTACTAAAAGTAAATCTAACCTCAGCACATGTAATAATCATACAACTTTCCTAGTGTTTCTGCTATTAAACATCGTTTACTCGAGTCTAAGTTCTCTCATGCGCCGTTAATGTGTAAAAAGATATAATTTATACAAAATTCTAGCAAACATCTCAGATGAAGAGAGAAGCATAAATTTAACCGAATCTTGGCCCAATTAATATTACTTTAGCCTGTTCCAGGTTAAAGTAAAATTAATTGAATCAAACCTCTTGTGTTGTTTTACTCTTCGTTATCAAGCGCTTCCCAAAATTTGGCAATGACAAAAGTCTCCGAGAATTTTGGTGGATCCCAAAAAACTTTTTTTCACTTTATTGCGACTGGTCGTCATGGACTATGGATGCTGCTATTAGGCAACGCAGAGGCAACAGAATTTGGTTATTTTTTCCAAGCTTGCATTTTCTTTCTTCAAAGGCTTAGTCATTTGGCGAAAAAGGATCAAAGAAACGTTGAAAACACGGTTTCTGCTAATAGGCTCTCGGAAGTGGAAAATGACTTCAAGGAATTTTTTGATAACGAGAGAATGGATGCGATTGATAAAATGCAACAAGTCTATGGATCTGAGGAGGAGAGCGACATCGGTATCTCTTACCCTCGACTGGCCTGCATCATACTTGAGGTGGGATGAATTGAGAAAATGTACTTCTCTATTTTTGACTGTTGAAAAGCTGCAATATTTTTAATTTTTCCAGTTATGGCTGGACCCATCCAGTCAAACTTTATTATATTTGTGACATTTTTCCTGAAAGGCGGCCTACGAACAGACAACAGAGGTAAAAGATTCAGCACTTCATGTTTTCAAGAAATAATTAATATCATGATTGAACAAGCTCCGGAACTGGGACAAAACTACTCACGGTTCGTGGAAAAGGTATGCAATAATTCTTCCACTATCGCGGAAGCTTTGGAACACTATTTTGTAAAGGATCTGATAATATAAGATTAAATCGCGTGAACTGCTCAAGCTTTTCGTGTTTTCTAGTTTTTTGTTGATGTTATAATTGGTTTTCAAACTTTTTTAAGATTTCGGCTGGTGTTACATTATTACTTATTTGCAAAACTACCAAAACAAACTTTGAAATTCACCCACGTACCTGCGATTTCCCTGCCAAAGGAAAAAACAATTGTCACATTATTTCTTCACAGGACAAAATGAGAACTGGATTACTTTTACCCTTACTCATCTTGATACAAATCCTTTTAGATGACTGGTTTGTCGGCTGAAAATGACAGCCGCTGAGGGACTGTCCGAGTAATGAACATTTAGCCGAAGCAAAACTTTGAGGTTAAATGTAAAAAATTTTAAGGACAATATCTCATCCATGCGTTTATTTATCTTAAAATGTACTCGAGTGCAAAGTCCGTAACACGAGTGCGACTTACAAATATCGTGAGCGCACTGTCGAGTTTTCACATGTCTCGACTTTCTGCGATACCTTTTT